TCTTCAGCAGAGCATCTGGTGGATTCAAACTGCACACCTCTGAGACTGCAGTGCAGCTTCTTGCCACTAGGCCACCAGAGCTCGCCAAGTGAGCTGTTTTTCATTGTTCTTCTCTAGCTCTCTTTTGTTGATCTAGAAATACTTCTTTTCTAAAACAAAATATAAAACAAACCCAAAAACCATTGGTTAATTATATTAAAAGAAATTCCTTTTTTTAAAAAAAAAAAACAACCCTGAAATTGTCTTATTAGACTCCACAGCAGAGATTTGAAACTCTTCTTTGAACTGGATAGTTACCAGTGATAAGATTCTGTTTGCCATTCCTAACCAAGTGCTTTTTCTTTAAGCCAAAGGAGGTCTCATATGAAAAGAGAAAAATACAGTTGAGCACTTATCTGTGACTCTCTAATTCAGTCTGTTGATAGAAGATTTCAGAATAGATTCTTAAGCAATTCTTTAGTATTTAGTAATTTTTAGGGAAAAAATCCAGCATTTATAAAGCATCTAATTTAGGAGATCTCTTGTTATTAGAGCTTTGATGAAATAGACAGTAACATGCAAATTCCATAAATGGTCTTATAGTAAGATCAAAGGACCAAGATTAAGGAGAACGAGACTCAACGGTTGTCACTCAATCCAGCAGTACAATTTTCCTGTAGACAAACTGCCATCATGCTGTTTGTTGTGAGGTAGCAAGCAAGATGTAGGAAGGAAAGCTCACATTCTAGAAAGATATAAAGTCCTATTTATTATCTATCCATAATCAGAGGCCAGATTATTCAATAAGACTTGATCTTCCTGAGGGAGCTTCACCCACATTCCATGCGGCCAGGGACCTCATAGGTGTAGGAAGCTGCTGTAACATCTGGAACTAGAAACTGTGACTCTGTAATTCAGTATGTTGATCGTTTGAATGATTTGAAATGGTTTAATTTTCCATTGCACCATTTAGAGACTGGGATTAAGTAAAGTTTAACATCTGAATTTAAATGATAGTGACATTCTTGTTCTTGAACTCTGGGCTTGTAACTTGTTCACTTTCTCTTCTGAACACCGGAGGGAGAAACCCTAAATTTTGCCCTCGATTAGTCAACATTTTTTTAATTAATTTTAATGAAAGTTTACAGAGACTTTGGATTTCCATTCATTCATTTTTGCAGGTTAGTCAACATTTAGATACCATCCATTACACACAGTAGTTTGCTTTCTATAACCTCCAGGACTTTAGAATTTTTAATAATTAAAGTTCTTTTGTTCTTGGTAAAAAATGACTCTAAATTAAGACAGTAATTGTTGTACTCCTCCATTCATTGCAACATGGTTAAAGCATTTGGCTACTAATTGGAAGCTTTGTGGTTTGAACTCACCATCCGCTCTTTGGGAGAAAAGGGAAGCAGTCTGCTCTATAAAGATTTACAGCCTTACAACACAAGCTCTATGGGATGGTTTTACTATGTCCTCCAGGTTGCTCTGCATCCAAACAACTTGATAGCAGTATGATATTGTATCCCAGGTCCACCTACTTTGTTGTTATGGGCCATCAAGTCGCCTGCGACTCACAG